TCACTAAACTAAATGTATTCGTAGCTGAGGTATGCGGTTCATGATCTTACAGAATTATTGCTTTAAACTTTTCTCTAGTTATTTTAATATTTTGCCGTCTATTGCGTCCTTATAATTGAAAAAACTAAATGTTCAGCGAAAACAGCTGTGAAACATATCAGTATATTTGACAAACCAATGAGTAATAACCATGTTTCATCGTCTGCTACAATTTACCAGTAGATAGTTGCATAAATCTAAGTAAAAAGAAGTCCCCTCTGGATTGCTGTGCTCTCATGTCATGCCACAGATCAGAGACTTGGAAACGGTGGAAGATCTACAGTCTTTCGGAAACTAGTACAATGCACCGCTATAGTAGATACATTTCTAAAACTAATTGAGATTTTTAAGTCATTGAACGTCTCATTGAAGTGCGAATCAGATTTGCATCATCACGTTAAAACTACCTGCAGATCGTTATTTTTCTGCTCACTTTTCTCAAAGTAAATGATTAAGATCAAGATACTCCATTACTTTATTCCCACATTGTCTTCCGGCACAGAGACCATCATCATAAAAATCTTTAATAACATCAGGACAGTATACAATTGAGTAGGAAGGCACAGAAAAGTTCCGAAACAGCCGTGGTGTAAAATACGAACAGACAGATGTTCAACAAGACTGGATGGAACCTTACAAGAAGAAAGAACTGGAGCAGTCAAGGAAGTGGTAAAATGAATAAGGATCTGCTGTTTATAATTTCCAAACCGAATAGATATCAGAAAACAGCTTGCTTATTGCACATTCGTTCCTTGTTAAGTGAAATATGTAGAGAATCTTCAATGAGTAGACTTAGCCTGTTCTTTTAAGAGTAAAGGAAGTTGACGTTTTTTCTACTAAAGATGCTTGCGTTCTAATGAATGGGTTACAATGTCGAAATGCTGTGAATCCTTCCTCCTAACAGAATCTTAGTGTTTTTTTATTTCCACAATAATGATCCTATAAGTTTTACCGCCCACATGTGATCGAAGTTTCAACGGTTAATCTGATAAACCGCGTTGGATTTGCCACGGTAATCTTTGGAGTATAACTGCCTGTATATATTTATTTTTACAACAGAATCATTTTATGTTTTAGAACTGCTTTAGCTCGCGTGCATACTTTCCCCATCAAATTTTGCTGCCAAAATTTTTACTAAACAGATTCAAGCCTTTCTGCATCATTGGGAATTATAACTGCGTAGTGCTTAAATGTAAGTACCTATCAACTAGTTAGCGTCTTTACACGCAAAGATGGAAATGGAAATTACAGGTAGATGACGACATGCTAATCGATCGACTGGCCAAGCCTTTGTAGCAGTGACTACGGCAAAGCGCAGAGCACCGAACTCGATGGATAGAACCAAAAACATTTCTATCCATCTGTTGTCATCCTCTGTGAAGGAACTGCAGCACCAGAATCGCGGCGTGCGTCGCAATGCCTGAAAAGCACCAACTCTTTGATCACATGTTCATGGAGATGGTTAAGCTGACGATGCACCAAATAAACGTTTAACGATGGCCACGATCACTT